GCAACCTGATAGCATTTGTTTTATCACCACAAACAACACATGAATTATAGCCTTTTACAACATTGCCTGACAAATTACCCAATGCAGGATAATCACTAATTGTCCACAACAAAACTGCCCGCAATGTGAAGAACTCTTTTCTGTACGCATCATAGACTTGAACACCAATCCACAACCTTTGAAGGTCTTTAACTACCATCTGAAGATAGACATCAATGTTGTTTCCGGGCTGATTTGGTCCTGATATCAACATGCTTAAGGTTATATACTTTCTCTTCATACACAACCAAGGTGGTAAGTTATAAATCGATATTAAAACTGGCCAGCATGAGTACGTTGTAGAAACTCCACGGAATGGATTGAATCCATCAGTTGATAAAGCTAACCGAAGGTTCCTAGTGTCAGAAGCAAATTCAGGCCACTGGCTATCAACATCCTTCCATGTTTTCGAATCTGCGGGGTGTCTAATCTTGCCATCCTTTTGTCGTTCGCTGTCATGCCAAGTCATATCCTTTGCAATATGTGGTGTATTAAAGAAATTCCTCAACCTCGAAAGTAAAGGAAAATACCACAAAACCTTAGCGGGTACCCCTTCAAATTCTTTGCCCTTTCTATTCAACTTCCATTTAGAGATCCCACATATGCGACATGTTGTACTATCTTCATCTCTCTCGCCATAATATAGAAGACAATCATTTGGGCATGCATGTATTTTTTGATAATTCATACCTAAAGCACATAAGGTCTTCTTTGCTTCACCAAATGACGAAGGCAGGCAGTTGCCCTTTGGGAGAAATGTCCCCAGCAAAAGCAGAATTTCAGAGAAGCATGAATCAGAAATCCCATGCTTTGCCTTCAAGTTATATAATTTCACTAGTGCCTTCAGCTTAGTGTAGGTCTTGCATCCCGGGTAAAGGGGTTCAGAATCCCCTTGGACATGGTTCATGAAATTAGAGTATTCAAAAGACCTGTCCTCACCATCTTCTTCGCTGTTTTCTTCTGTTCCATCGTCAAATGAGTCATGAACATGTTTCTTGTGTGGGTGAGGGGGTTCATCATCTGGATTTAGCTCTCCGTGCCATATCCAACATGTATATGATTCATCAATACCATGTTGGAAAAGATGTGCCCTAACTGCTTGTGTGTTCAAGGATTTTGTGTGAACACACTTTAGACATGGACAACTAATTTTTTGTCCCTCAAATCTGTTTTCACTGGCAGACCTTAACAATTCATCCACTCCTAGTTCATACTCTCTGCTTCTTCTATCGGATTTCATCCACGATTTATCCATACGTAATTGAGATAAGACTGCTGACTTACCAGACTCATGTCATGAAGGGTTGCTAGCAGAGTATTACTCCATCGCCGAAAATACCGCAGTGATGAAGAAACAGCTAGACCTCAACTGTGGCTGAAATTACTCGCCGCCGGCCATTTCTGAACATAAGAGCTCGATTTCACCCTTGGCTTAATTTCATCCCAGCGCGATCCCAATTTGGGTTTCCACTGTACACGCTATACCGCAGGTCCCAAGGAAACTGGAAAAGGAGATTGACTTCACCTTTTTTTTTCACTGCTAGACTTCACCTAATTTTTTTGATGGGATCAAAAGTACAAATCTCTACCAAATTTGACTAAATGTACACTAAAAAGACAAATGTTAGATTCACAAATAAAATGACTTATAAACTTCTATTAATTATATATAACTAAATTATACACAAAAAGTCATATACAAAAAAAAAATTATGCAAAAAGTTTTGACTACCAAAAAAATTAATACTAAGTATTTCATTAAAAATTCATAGTGTTAAACATAATTTAGTTGTTTTAAACAAATTCTATACGTTGATCTGTTAATTTGAAAATTTTGTTCGGGTCGGGTCGGTTAAACTCGGGTTCGGGTTGAATTGTCATCCCTAATAAGCCACAATAAGGGAATACCTTGAAACGTTTTTCTAAATAATACATAAATCCCAAGACGTATAATAACATACCAAAAGAAACATCTTAATCTAATAACATTTTGTTCCAAACTTCCCTCCGAAAACAAAACATATAATAACATACCAAAAATAGCATTTTGGTTTTAATTGGCCACCCAAAAAACCATACAAAAACATCCCATTACAAACACCCCTCCACCATTTTAAGTAATTTGGAATGCAGGCAGTCTTCATTGGTTTACACCTTGTTCTTCTTTTTATGTGTACTGCAGCAACCACTCACTTTCTGCTTTTTCCTTTTGTCCTTCCTGCTGCCTTCAGCCATGGCCACATTACTCCTTGGACAACAAACGAATTGAAACAAAAAACATTTATGTCAGGAGTTGCTCTTGAATTTAATCATCACGTAGTGTAACACAGTTGTAAGAATAAATTAAACAAATTGGTACTATGCATATAACACATTATCCCAGCATCTCCTTAACCAATTTATCAGGCACACCAAAATTATTTTCGTAGGTTAAGATAGTGTCATTGAATTGCCAGGGTTAAACTATAATGCACTTTTAGGAGAGACACCATGGACTTGCTGGTTAAGATAGTTGTCATGTTTGTTAATTTGGTGAGATCATTCAACAGACATTTAAGCCATTTAAGCTTATTGTATATTGTACAAAAAAATCAGCCAGTTCAACTAATAATCATCACAATATCACACATTCCCTTCAACTAAAAATCAGCCAGTTCAACTAATAATCATCACAATGCACTTTTAGAAGTGAACACTGATACGGTAATCCCAGTAGGTTAAAGTATAACACACATGTATCAATGAAGTAGAAATTTCATAAATTACAAATGAAATTCGATAATCTTATGAATTGGATATGAAATTACATACTTGGAATTGATCTCTGAGACCGAAGAGTTCACATCTGAAGTGGGTTGCATGAACTTCATCACATCTGTCTTCGGATCCCAAGGTTTGTAGATCCCTAGAAAAGTCTCCATTGCGAGTATCTCATACCTCTGGCTGTCGTCTAGCATCAACTGCGTCTTCTCACTCCCAGCAATGATTATGACGTCTTCCTCTTCATGGTAATAGATGATTTCAGTCTCCTTTGAATCGTCCACACCATCGTCGTCGCTTTCAATAAAAATTAATTCGTTCTCAGATACATGGCCGCCAACAACAGATTCGGATGAGAGGGCCATGGGAATGGAGAGAATGAGGGGAAGGGAGATGAGTGGACGGGTTTTTTCTGGAGTCTGCAGCGAGATCGGATAAGGAGGGGAAGGGAGATGAGTGGCTCTAGTTTGTTCAGTTCATGATAAAAGTCATTGATTTTATTAGGTGGTGGATGGAGGTAGATGAGTGGTTATCATGTCCAAATTGAATGTTGTTATTAAAGTAGGATAAAGTTATTTAATTTGTATCCCAAAGTTTTTGTACCTCAGTTGTACACCGCAGTTTTGCACTAACATTTTGAGTTGGTGTAAAAATATTTTTTTAAAACACCAACACTTTGTGTCTGTGTAAATTTTTTTTAACGCACCAACATATGTGTCAATGTAAACTATCAAAATATTTTTGTATAACTGAGGTGTACAAATGTGGTACAATATTTGGTGTAAGTATAACGTAGTCCATTAAAGTATTATTATTACTCAATATAAAAGTAACCAAATTCAGGTACATATACTGTTACATATACCGATAATTAACAATCTCAAATGTACTGTTACATATAACGATAACCCGGTTTATGCCTGAGATGTTACCAAGATAACCAAACTCCATTTCTTTTACATGTACCGACAATCGGCCTAGCTATCTCAATCTTGACTCGTTCACGAATACTTAACAATATCAAACGTACTGTTACATATAACGATAACCCGGTTTCTGTCTGAGATGTGTTACCAAGATAACCAAACTCTTCAACTGTTACATGTACTCGCAACGTAACTGAACTCAATCTTGACTCCTTCAAGGATAATTACGAATATCAGACATACTGTTACATATACCGATAACTCGGTTTCAGTCTTGGATGTTACCATCCATAAGATAACCAAACTCTTCAACTGTTACATGTACCGATAACCTACCTAACTCAATCTTCACTCGTTCAGGGATAATTAATTATGAATATCAACCGCACTATATTTTATATATATATATATATATATATATGTATATATATATGTATATATATATATATATATAACCTGATGATGATGTTACAGCAGATATGGTACCACTATAAGCAAAGTAACACTATATAATATCCTTGATCTCCGTTCTTTTAAAAATCTTTATGTGAAATTTGGTATAGAATATCAGAAACTATATCAAAACATATACAAAACTAGATATGACACAAATTTATTATTTTATCAAATAAATAACAAACATTATTCAACAAAATCGTAAGAGTTTGAACAAAACTAAATTGAACAAGGAGTTCATTTCTAAAACTAAAAACTTTACATTTTTTTTACTACTCCCTCCGTCCCGAAATATTCTTCCCATTTTTCATTTTGGTCCGTCCGGAAATATTCTTCCCATTTCCTCTTTTAGTATACTTTTAAAGATAAAATTCAATAATATCTTTTATTTCGGAAAGTATGTGTATTTTTTTAAATCAACACGGGAAGAATATTTCCGGACGAAAGGAGTATTTTTTAAAAAACTTGTCAAATCTACTATGTACATGTGAAAAAAAATAATAGAGAACATTCTTTTTAAAATTTTTAAATTTTTGCCAAAATATTGGCCAAATTCTACTACTCTGTACGTGGCAAAATTTTGGCAAAGAAGGGGCGAAAACTTTTAACAATTTCGCCAAAACCTACCATTTCCCAAGCATACTCCCTCTAAAATTTTGGCCAAAATATTTCAAAAATTTCATCCACCCTCCAAAATTAAGCTGGAAGCTCACCACGTATCTTTTGTTCCTATACCTCCCAAAAACCGAGAAGGCCTCCAAAAAATAACTTCACCTAATTCAATCAATTCATCCACTCTACTCTGAACTTCAATCCCTACCTCCCGTCGCCTCCTCACTCAACCTTCTTCTCCGATTCACTTCCCTCTGCTATACTCGAGCCATAACCTACCGTTTTTGCCGACATAGGAGTTGAAAACCCTAAAATAAGATAAGTCGTAAACCTCAAATCTGGTATTCCCTCCAACAATAGTCACCATATTTGTTTTCCCAATTTTGTCGAATTCTTCTTGGCCTCTTCTTTGCATGCGTCTACCTCGCTGCTCAGACCCCCCCAAAGAGGTCAGGGTTACATTTCTCAATCCATTGAAGTCACAATTCATTGGTTTGTTGTTATTCTTTTTAATTTACTATCTGTAAAGGCTTGCTTCCAGAAAGGGTTGAACCAGAAAGGCTTCAACCAATTCCTTAATTCGTTGAATGTGAGACAGAGAGCAGCAATAATGAACAATTTTTTTTCTAGAGTCAACTCAATACTCCTTCCATCCTTTTTTAAATATATTTAAAAAAATATTAATCTTAATACGTTTTTTTATCTCAGTATTTTGGTACAGACCTTTGTTGTTTGTGTAATGCTTGACATCAAATTTATTTTACTATTTTAGTGTCCCTTATCATAAACTGTACTCCTGAAAATTCACCTAAAAAATGAATGTGATAACCCACCTACAAATTGAGGCAGATCCCAATTTTTCATTATGCGCAGCATTTATTCGATATATACCTTATTTTATACTGAAATGTTTGATCTTCACTCACTTTCAGACCAGCACTCAACAAAATGCGCAGGCTGGACGTGCAATCCAAAAACCAATTCTCCGATCCTCTCCAAGGCACAAGAAACCTGAAGGTCTTTTAGAACGTAATGAAATGCAATGTCATAGTGCCCCAAAACTCGAGCTCCGAAAATCTCCCAGGCTTAAAAGAAAAGATCGGCCGAGCACTTTGACAGTGGTGCAGGCATTGAGTGGCTCAAGGTCAAAGAACGTGCAAAGCCATTCTACTCCCTTGCCCGTCACCCCAAAGCCAAAGCCTATATCTGACATTGTACAAAAACAGATCAAGCAGAAGAGAAAGCGGGAAGAAGTAGAAAGTGAAAGTGTCGCCAAGCCTTCTGGGGTGGGTTGAAACTCCGAAAACGTGGATGTGTTTCAATGCACCGCGTTGTGAAACGTAAGATAAATGGACAGAAACCAACGGTTTTGTTTAATGATAAGGGAGTTGGCATACCACACCGACGACGTCTCTACGTTAGAATATAACCTCAAAACCGGTCCTGTTTTCGAGGTTATACCAAACTGTGAACCTCCGTTCAAGGCCATTGGTAGTTCTACAAGATTTGGAAATCTGTCACGGTAAATATAACCATACTAACACTTGACTAGTCCTTACAAAATAAATAACTTGATCATTAATTATATACCTGTGTTTTCCAACTGACTTAGACTAGTAAATTACTCCCATGTTTATGCATATAGTTGGGGTTCGACCTACCCCCTTCTGCACAAAAACTTGTGCTGCAGTTGGTGAATTCGAAGTGGAAACAATTCAAGAGTACCCTGACATGTAAATATATTCTTCCCTTTCGAGATGAACTTGAGAGGCTGAGGACTCCACCAGAGGACTTCTCTTTCTTAGAGAAGAATCATTGGGATATTTTTGTTGCTGATCGTCTAAGCCCCGAGTTCTTGGTAAGACTATGTTTCCATTGTACTTTATTTAAAATACTACCTTTTTGATGAACTGTCCTTTTTTTGCAGAAAGTCCATGATGAGCATGTGAAGAGAGTTAAGGAAAACAAATATCCTCATCGCTTGTCCCGAAAAGGCTATGCAAACCTGGAACAGGAATGGGTTTGTACTCACTAATATATGCAGAGTTCTGTGTTAGGAGTATTCCTCTTCTACATGTACATTTTGACTATGATACATTACTCACTAAATGAACATGCAGGCAAAAACACACAGTGGAGATGAGTCAGTCATTGATCGATCTGTTACGTGGGTCCTTGCAAGGAAGGACAAAGAAGGAAATTTCAAGAGTGACTCTACAAAACAGAAGGCGGAGGAAATTGTATGTTTTTAAATAATTTCTGAAAATTAGTAAGTTCTTGCACATAATGTTGTTGTATGTCTCTAATCCCAGCAGCCCTATTGATATTCCTTTGATGCTTTAGTGTAATGTTAAAATTTTGAGTTCTATACCACTTCTGTTTTATTGATAGAATTCCGGTTCCTTTTCAGGAGTTCTTAAGGGAACAAGTATGTTCTGGTGTGCTTACTGAAGAAGGTGATGATGATGTATTGACCAAGGCTCTTGGGAAGCCCGAGCATGGTGGAAGAGTTCGAGGGCAAGGAATGCATGTGAGGAAGGCTGTGTATTTCAATCTCCCGCGGTCAAAGAAGCAGAAGACACAAACAACGGTTGATGAGCAAGTGAAGGAGGGTGTGAGACAACTTTTGGCAGAGGAGGTGAATAACATTGTTGCTAGTTCTCTACGAAAAACCTACCGACTCTATCTCTTCAACTTTAGTCTCTAGACCTTCTTTGAAGGAAGTAGTCCCGCTGTCCCTTCCCAAGAGGCTAGCTGCTCACCTAAATTCAGGGAAGGTGGGCAGAATCAACAAGTGGCAAGGAAGAATCTAAAGGACTCATTTGATGCAGAACTTGAACCACTCAGAGAGAATAATGACATTGGTGATGAGTGTAATCATATACTGTCCGTGGCTGAGCATGTTGATAAGAAACAACATGAAAAAGAAAGAGAAAAGAATGAGAGAGAAGATCAAGAAATTGATACTGTGGAGAAGCTTGTGGAAGTTGGAGGACTTAAAGTAGAGAAGAAAGCAGAAAAAGATGTCTTCGTTGATGTTGATTCCGGGGAGAGCCAAATGGCACAGCTTGCTGTTGGTTTTGTGGACAATATTGTTGCACATGCAAAGGTGTATGGATTCTCCCGGATGGATGACCTCACCCTACATGGTGAAAAACTGGGTGAAGAATATGCAAAGGTGTCCATTACAGAAGCAATAAAAGGTTTGCATGAGCAAGTTATTAATATTTTGAATGTATTAGCTAAGGATGAAATGCACACATTTTAGAAGTACTCATGTTTTTAATCTTTGATATTTGCCAGATGTTGACATTCCAGTCCCAATCCCCGGTGAAGTACTTACTGTTGAACAAGCCAAAGGAACTTTTGTAGCATGGCCTAAGGAGCTGATAGTCTTGGATGTGCTTCCTAAAGGAAAGGTTATTATATCTCTACTATTATGTCTACTTGATTCTTTTAGATAATATATTTACCCACGTGCACATTTTTTATAGAGCAATTTAAAAACTGTCAAAAAGAAAAAGGCCCCTAAAAGATTGAAAAAGGCACATGTTCAAGACGATGAGGAATGTGGCCAAGAGTTCCAAGTAGAATTTGGTGCTGAGTGTCCACTACAGTTGAAACGGCTATGGTTGTGGGCTAAGGAAGCATTGTCTGATGATAGAGCACATACTTTTGTCCTTAATAAAGATGCCTTTGGGGTGGAAAAGAAGTTATCAGTTTTTCTGAGTGATATACATGCTCTGTGCGCTCGTGGCGAGATGGTTGGAAGCATAATTACAATATACATCCAGTAAGAATGTCATCACACAAACATTTTATTTTCATTGTTAAAAGCCTTTTGATATAAAATTCTTATGGACAAGTGACATAACTATCATGTAATTACCCTTGCAGCTGCCTGTATGAGCTTGTGAAAAAAAACAAAATGCTTCAGATGATCTCTTTCGTGGATCCTGGCATGGTAGGGACGCTTGCATGTGGGAACATAGGGCAGAGGTCACGCAAGCTTGCTGATCGCTTTAAGGGGGCCTGTGATGGACAACACTTTCTAATACCGTTTAATGACGTGTAAGTATGTTTAAGTTGTTCATGTCAAGAACTGATGTTCTGAATTGTTTCTTCCTTGTGAACTTAGTCTTCAATTTGCATTGTAATGCTTTGTTAATACACTTATGTAAATGCGAATTTCTTTAAGTTCGTGAGAATGTCGTAATTCATATATGTTTTTATTTGTAGGAATCATTGGGCTTTGACTGTTGTCAAACCTAATGAAGAGGTAGTGTACTACATGGACCCCCTTAAACCTAATGTAGTTTTGGGCTGGTTATTATTGAATGGTGCAATTAAACCCAAGAGTTTCAGGGATGGCAGATAGTCGATTATTAATAACTGATAATCGATTATTTGGGTTTGCTGTTGATGCCTAGGAAATTCAGGAGGGTGTGATAATCGATTGTTAGTGATCAACAATCAATTATTAGAGCTCTCGGGATAGACATACGGATAGAAGGTGATGGGTGTATGCTGGTGATGGAAAAGTGGAATTATGGGAATGAAGATGGAGTTATTTTTGGGCTGGTTGTTTTGGATATTTTGGGACATGGTTTTTGGAGAGGGGGGTTCAATTTTAGATGGGAAATGGGGGCTCCCAGGGGTTATGGTTGGGCCTTATAGTCCAAGGCTGGTTTCCACCCAAAAAGGAGCAAAGTCCTCAGCCATGGCTTCCTTCGTTTGCTTGAACATTTGAAATATGTCTCGCAGCTTGGAAGCGGTGAGCCTGGATATAACATCCTCCCCTTCTTCGAAAGAGTTTGTCCTCAAACTCGAGTTTTCTTCATGTTCATCTTCAGAGCGGAATGCTATCATGCTTGAATCTTCATCTTCAAACACTCTTTGCTTTGGAAGGGAAATTTGGAAACGCCACCTTGTACACTCAGAATGAGTGTTCTTTCTCTCATGCGTATCTTCATGGAATTTCTGCAATAATGCATAGAAACATTGGCACTAAAGGTTGTTTGTATTAAATCGGTCCCATGATTTCTCCTTTTACAGTAGGGTTTGTGTCGGGGGCTTTCAACGAGGCACAAGGGATGTTTTGGGTACAACACGGGTTCATGGGGTGACTCTTCGGGCCTTGAATATTTGGACTTCATCAAGATGGAAAGTATGGATGGAGACTGTGCCTGGGGCAGTTGGATAGATGGAATCATCGGAGCAAGAGTGAGTCTCCTTGTATCCATCTCAAATGAATACGAGTTGGTGAAACCATCGTAGGTAACTCTCCGATCATATAACCACGGCCTCTCGAGGAGAATGTGACAAGCTCTCATGGGTATCACATCACACCACACGTTGTCATGAAAGGACTGACCGATGCTAAAGGAGACCAAACTACGTGTATTCACACGTATCCCTTCGTTAAGATTCAACCATTGGATCTCATAAGGTCTCGGATGTGGCACCACCTTTAAGTTGAGCTTTTCCACCGCTATTTTGGCAACAACATTGGCACTACTCCCGCTATCGATTATGATATACCTCGGGTGACTACCAACGACTCTAAAGTCGTTAAACAAATTAATGGAATAATGGCTAAGTGCTACGATCCCTTTTGGGCCGAACTTATCAGTTATAAAACCCACAACATAGCCATAATATCCCTGAGCCCAACACCCATCTAAAACCAAGTCTTCATCACCAAAACCAAGTCCCAAAGTATCCAAAAGCTAGCCCAAAACTACATTTGTTTTTCTTTCACCCCTGGCCGAAAAACAACCAGCCCAAACCCATGCCATACCCACACTTTGCTTCCCCAACTAGGCTGAGCAAACAATCACTAAAATCCAAGACACATTGACCCACACCCACACCCTTCAACCCCTCTTTGTTTCCCCCATTTTTTGCCCAGAAAATACCTCCAAAATAGCCAGCCCATTTTCCCCATTAACCCTTTCTCCTGCCCAAGCACACCCCACCAAAACCCAATCAATAATAAATAATGTTCACATATTCCTTCCCACCATTAGTGGCCAAGAACCCTGCCCTACAGGTACCCACACCCCTGATTTTCTCCCCACCAAAGGGACATCCACAAGTGGCCATTATTTCATTTAATTTGTGAACAAGAGACTTGGTAGTCTCCCTTTTATCTTATATAAGCTCATCCCTGAGCATTGTAAGGGGACATTGTATTCCATTTTTAAATCAAAGTGATTCACTTGTGTGTTTCATTCCAAATTCCTAATCCTATATCTTAAGAGTGGTTCTCTTGAGTGTGAGTTTTAGGTTCTAGTTATTTAAATAAGTGTGTGATATCTTATTTGAATGCTAGACTCAACCCCAAGTTAAGATAAGAGTGTGTGATATCCCTTAACACCAACTTGGCTTTTTCCCCTTCCCAAAGAAATACTTCTTTTCCTGTCCGAGCTGCCAAATAATCGATTACCGCTAGTAATAATCGATTATCCATCCTTCATGAAACACCTGCAGCCTTCAATAGTCGATTATCACTCTCAGACAATCGATTATCAGCCTTCCCCAGAAACCTGCAACTCTCAATAATCGATTGACACTCCTCCGTCACTCGATTATCTTCCTTCTTAGAAAATTCCCGGAAAATTGCCCAAGAACCTGAAGCCCTCAACAATCGATTATCCACTTAGGACAATCGATTATCTCCCCCTCCCCGCAAATAAAGAGATTGTGACTATAAAACCCTGAGCATAGATATAACATTTGGTATCAGAGCTTGTTGTTGAGCATCCCCTTGAGGCCATACAACACACTTCCCCCTTTTCCTTCCTTTCCATAGCCTTTCCTTTCTCTCCCTTACTATCGTCATGTCAAACACTTCCAACAACCTGTCCAACGAAGAACTCCTAGCCTCCAATGCTGCTCTCAAGGCCCAAGTTGAGTACTTGGCCAAGCAAGTTGCCCAACTCACTAAGCTCAAGATAAGCATGGTGAATACCCCAGAGGAAAGCGATGAAGACGAAGAAGTTCACCCCGAAACTAACTCTAGTAACACCGCTAGAGAGGAGAATCATGAACGAGGAGCTACCGATTTCAAGGTTGACATACCAACCTTTGAAGGGAAGAACGATCCGGATGACTTTCTAGAGTGGCTAGAAATTGTTGAGTGCGTCTTTGACTTCAAAGATGTACCCGAAGAAAAGAAGGTCAAGATCGTGGCATTGAAGTTTCGGAAGTATGCCTCCACTTGGTGGTCCAACCTTTCCACCAAAAGAAGGCGAGAGAATAAGGCCCCCGTGAAGACCTGGCTCAAGATGAGGAGCTAGTTGAAGAAGAAGTTCTTTCCCGAACAGTATGTACGAGACAACTTTGCCCTGCTTCAACACCTAAGGCAATGCCCTCGCTCAGTTGAAGACTATACTCGGGAGTTTGAAGAACTCTTAATGAGGTGTGACCTTCAAGAAAACGATTCACAAACATTGGTACGTTACCTATTTGGATTAAACACTCAAATAGCCAATGTAGTTGAGCTGCAACCCTATGATACCTTTGAAGAACTCTCTAAACTGGCTCTCAAAGTTGAATCCCAACTTAAGAGAAACAAAACCCCGTTTGTTCGTACCTCCCCCTTCTCCAAACCCCCTCCTACTTCCTCAAAAGCAACCCCAAATGCCCCTGCTCAAAACACCCCTTCAAAGCCCAACTCCATCCCGTCTACCTCCTCCAACCCACTCCCCTTTAAAACAGCCCAAACCAACACACGAACTCCCAAATGCTTTCGTTGCCAAGGCATAGGTCATTTTGCCAATGAATGCCCCAACAAGAAGATAATGGCCATTATTGAGTATGAAGAAGAGGAGATCAGCCCCTCATGGCCTGAAGAAGAGATTGAAGAAGAAGAATGTGTAGGAGCCGATGAAGGAGAACTCTTGGTCATCCGAAGGACCTTGAGTAGCATAGCTAGTCCCGATGATCAACTACAACGGGAGAACATCTTCCATACCCGTTGCACTATCCAAAAGAAGGTGTGTACTTTGATTGTGGACAGCGGAAGTTGTACCAATGTAGCTTCTAAAACGTTGGTAGATAAGCTGAAGTTGAAGACCTCCCCACACCCAAAGCCATACACAATTCAATGGTTGAATCATGGTAAGGGGGTACGCGTGGATTCCCGGAGTTTGATATCATTGAGCATTGGACGAAGCTATTCCGATGAGATATGGTGTGATATCATTCCAATGGATGCCTGCCATATCCTCTTGGGACGACCGTGGTTATTTGATCGGAAGGTATTCCATGATGGATATGCCAACACGTATTCCTTCCTCATCAACAAGAAGAAGGTTACCCTCACTTCCTTACTTCCCTCTACCCCCACGGTTTCACCACCATCCAAAGAAGAAACCCCCGTCCTCATCTCCACTATATTACAAGCCGAACACCATGAGTATGAACCCCAAAAGGAACTAATTCTCCTCGAGAATGAAGCACCCGAGCCCATTTCCCTACCCATCCCTCTTCACCAATTAGCCAAACCCATTGTGGAACAATTCTCCCATGTCTTCCCCGAAGATGTCCCCCACGGCCTTCCACTGAAGCGAGACATTCAACACAAGATTGATATCATCCCTGGGGCTGCCCTACCCAACAAACCAGCTTACCGAATGAATCCCGAAGAAACTAAGGAGATCCAAAGACAAGTCGATGAGTTACTAGCCAAAGGATTTGTGAGAGAAAGCTTGAGTCCATGTGATGTCCCTGCTCTTTTGGTGCCAAAGAAGAATGAGACTTGGCGTATGTGTTGTGATAGTCGGTCTATTAACAAGATCACTATCAAGTACCGTTACCCAATTCCACGATTGGAGGACATGTTGGATGAACTACATGGTTCTACGATCTTCTCCAAAATTGATCTTTGGAGCGGTTATCATCAGATTCGCATCTTTGAAGGAGATGAGTGGAAGACGGTGTTCAAGACGAAGTTTGGGTTATACGAATGGTTGGTCATGCCGTTCGGGCTAACCAATGCCCCAAGCACGTTCATGAGGCTTATGAATCAAGTCTTGAAGCCCTTCGTAGGTCTTTTTGTCATTGTCTACTTTGACGACATTCTAATCTACAGCAAAAGTGAGGAGGAACATGTCAATCACCTCACATTGGTGATCAAGAAGTTAGATGAGGAGAAGTTGTATGGAAACCTTGAGAAGAGTCAATTTTTTTCTCAAGAAACAGAATTCTTGGGATATTTCATCTCAATTGAAGGAATAATAGTCGATGAGAAGAAGACCCAAGCCATTCGTGAATGGCCAATCCTTCCATATTTGCAGCAAGTTCGAAGTTTCCATGGCCTAGCCTCTTTCTACCGAAGATTCGTAAAGGATTTCAGCACCATCACGGCACCCAAAGTAAAATTTGTTAAAAAATCTACTCCGCATTATACTTTCTACTTGCCAAATCGGTATATGACTATATATAAAGACGTAGTGAAATTCGTAAAAAAAAAAAGCTTTGTATAGTCAATTTTAACTCAAAATCCGGCATGAAACACAAGTATAAATTTAAAATGGAAGGATTCATAGGTTGCTTTTATAAAGATGACATTTTGATAGAAAGCTCTTTATCAAGTGTTAAACAAATAAGTTTCAAGCGTTGTCAGTAACATTATAACATGTTTCGTAGACCATTACTTTGCTTCACTGGGACGACCCCCTGGGAAGTCCTCGTGTTGCACCCCTTTTTGTTCTTTTCATCGTTTTTTGCAAGTTATGTGCTTGATTCTTTTAAAAACCGTCTAGCGAGCACAAAGGGTTGCGTGAACTTCCAAAGTGCGTCGGGAAGCCACACAAAACAAGGGTGGCCGAAACCCAAAATGAACAGAAGTCAAAACGGGCCTAGGAAACGAGAAATAAATGGGCTGAACATAAAATAGGCCAAAGGCCCGGAAACGAGCGAAATTGAGGTCAACATTGAGCCCCGATGGGTCTCCGACGCATCGCCCCCCTGTGCGTCTCGTTGAGACCTTTCCGGAAAGTGCTCGCACGCTGAAAACGGACACTCCTAGCAAAAGTTATGCCCGAAACAGCGTAATCACCACGCTAACCCGTGATGCGCAATTTTAGTGGTCGAAATGGTAATACACGGGGTCGAAGACACACCCTATCGGTCTTGGGCATGTTTGCCCTCAACGTTAACCTTTTAGCGTGGTGATTACGCTGTTTTGGGCATAACTTTTGCTAGGAGTGTCCGTTTTCAGCGTGCGAGCACTTTCCGGAAAGGTCTCAACGAGACGCACAGGGGGGCGATGCGTCGGAGACCCATCGGGGCTCAATTTTGACCTCAATTTCGCTCGTTTCCGGGCCTGTGGCCTATTTTATGTTCAGCCCATTTATTTCTCGTTTCCTAGGCCCGTTTTGACTTCTGTTCGTTTTGGGTTTCGGCCACCCTTGTTTTGTGTGGCTTCCCGACGCACTTTGGAAGTTCACGCAACCCTTTGTGCTCGCTAGACGGTTTTTAAAAGAATCAAGCACATAACTTGCAAAAAAATGATGAAAAGAACAAAAAGGGGTGCAACACGAGGACTTCCCAGG